AATGAGAAAAAAACCGTATGTATGTTAATTCAGCTCGTTTTCGAAGATTAAGGAATGTGTCAATTTATTTATGTGTTAGACTACTTGATTACGTCACTGTATATAAATATATGGGACACTTGATCACTAGTGACCTTAATGACAACGTTGACATTCAGGCCAAATCTCGTCTCTTTTATGTGAGAGGCAACGCGATTATTCGCGATTTTAAATTTGCGTCCTTTGCTGTTAAATGTCATTTATTTTCTGTATTCTGTGATATTACATATTGTGCATTTTTGTGGTCTAATTTTACACTTTGTAGTTTTAACTCTATTAGGAGAGCACACTCACTTGTGTTTCGTAAATTATCTGGGTATTCACATTCTGTTGTACAGAGTAATAGGGCATTGTTTGTTAATCTTTATATTAGATCTTTTGATGAAATTCTTCGGAAAAAAGACATTTAGGTTTATGAGTAGACTGCACCTTGTATCTAACCCCATTGTAACAACAACATTGTACATTTCAATTCATTCCCAGAGTTTAATATGGAAATTATGGGAGAAGAGGATTTTTTGACTTGTATTTTTTTTGCTATGGATTTTTTATGATCTGAAATAAACATATAATAATAATAATAATAATAATTTCTTGTATTCGCAAATGAAGAAAACTATTTATTATAAAAAAAATATTAGAAAATGGGAATTCCAAATATGGAATGATTACGCGCTAATAATAAAAACAAACATGGCCAAGAGTTTGACCGGACTCCTCACAAAGAAGTTTGTAAGTATTGTAGAGAAGAAATATATAGTATGATTTTCTACCTCAGATCTGGTATGCGTTTGTTACTGTAATTTGGAGCATTGAATCATGGTGGCATGATCCACTTAGTGAGTTTAATTTAATTGAAATCAAAGTGTAAAGTTTAAAATTTAAATACTCTCAAAAGTTACCTGACTTATTTTTGATGTTGATTTTTATATACTGTTGTTAGTTGCAAGCTCTATGTGGTAAAGAGTGTTACTACCATTTGGAAATTCAAGGTCGTTTGTCATGTCATTTCAGCATTTAATTGTATATATAACAATTATAGTATTCACCATATCTTAGTACAAAGTAGATTATTTTCAATTCATGGAAAATTCATGATAATTTGTTGGCATATATGTATATACTTTTGTTAAAACATCATTCAGGCGTAGTTTCTAGATAGAATAATACATGACACCACTCGTAAAAAACATTTAGTGTTTGTTAGTCACAAATTAACATGGCTCAAAATAAATTGATGTATGTGTGTACAATTATACATTATCAACATATATACGTGCTTCTTTTTTTCTCACAACCACGCATATTTACAAATGTAAACACAATATTATGGGATACCTGGTAAATAAACATTTGGACAAACTTCAGGTGCATCACATATTCAAAAAGACGAATTATGTAAAACGTATCGGAAATGTGATGATTAATTTATATGTATCTACAAGGGGCATATATAACGCCACATCTTCTAGAACATATACACATAACCTTGCATAAGACCCAGATGTATGCATCATTTAAAGATCGTATATTCTATCGCAAAAAACAATGATTTTATTAATTATTCCTCTGAAATTATACTATTATACAGTGTACCTTAACCTGCTACTGCATTTATCTCATTTACGAATTTTCATGCATGTTGTCATCGTTTTCTGAAAAACGAGTAGAGTTGTGATGAAAATAAAAAAATCAAAATATATCATGTAGTGTAACTATCATAATATATATTATGGCGAATATGACACGTACTATAAGTCCAAACTGAAATATGCAAGACTTACAATTCACTATATGGTCTTTCCCTAGTTTTGTGACATCTTGTTTCGAAGTTTACATCAATTATATTTTAACCATGGGTTAAACAAATAAAATATAAACAACCGACCTCACATCATTATAGTTTGAGAGGGCTAGCCAAATCTTCCACATTTAAAAATACACATACTATTTCTATTTAATGTATTTATAATATTTTCACTGAATTCTTTGAAACTAATTTACTAAATAATTTTAACAGTATTTCGCTTATAGACCAGTAAGAATAGTTGTTACTATCCTGCTTTTGAAAATTAAAAATGAAAAAATGACAACAAAATACATTAAAATTCACCACCTCAAAATACTTGACAGTTACCGTATACAAATTAATTTGTTGGGCACAATTCACCATCATATTTTACTATCCATATTATTATATATATAAATCTGTTTCAAGACATTTTAAAAATTTATTTTAGAAGTATAATAATACAACGACTAGATTTAGTGTCACAGTTGCTCCCTTTTCAAATTGAAATATTTCCAGCAATAATTAATAAATCTTGTTCAGCATACCATTTATCCCCCAACGTCATAAATATTGGTAAGAAATAAACATAAATTATTTTGATGCCTTGTTTTTAGAAGACACCGTCATATCACATGTTGATTGGAACCATATCATTTCAAGATACAGGGTGTCTAAACAATGATCCAACAACCAATAAACACATATCCACCCACCACAAAAAACTATTCATAATTGAACAACTAGGAAAGCAACAAATATCACACTGCTTCCTGGAAACCACATAGCATATTACAACCAGACATGGCAAACATGAACTCCTTCAGCCCTCCCAATACACCCTACACATTAATGGTTCCTATACTCATTTGAATGTATGTACAACAAACTAAGCCATGGCCAATAAATGCAAGCGACTCAGCAAACTTTTGACCAACCACTTATTCTAATTATTGTTAAATGAGGGCGCCATTTACTAATGGAAAGGTTCTTGAAAATAGTTAAACAGATATATATGGAACAAGATTTGGTGGTCGTTTATAAGCTCTTGACTTCACCTTAGGTATACCATGGAGGAATAGTTGTGTTTTTTATTTGACGGTGTAGCGTATTGTGCTTGCCTGTTATTTTATTTTGTATTTGTCTTTGACTATTTGTAATCCGTTTATTTTGTGTTCCTGAACTCGTAAATTCTCCATGATGTGGATGATTTATACTACAATACTAAATCCCCCACAGCTTTATACTGGCTTATAGGATGTCCAAGACGTGATAATTTGTCCAGCTTCCCTCACACTACATCTTTGCTATAGACGCTCGTACGGACACCCATCATGGCCGTTGTCAGAATTCCCATGGTTGACGCTTGTATTGAAACAATATGAAGCGTATTTTCACATTGCTATCAGCAAGCGTTGTTTCTACAACAATATCCGCGTTGCTTTTTGCAAGTATGTGGTATATGGGCAACTGACAGTGTATGGCACCACGTGTAATAATATAATTCGTAAAACATTATTACCTGCGACAAATCAGTCTGTAAAGCATTTAGCCATGATGTGGAGGTGCTAAAATCAATGTATTTTCGGGAAACTTATGCGGTTGTATTGAATCACTGTCCAATCATAAAAGATGTTTTAAGTCATGTAATGTATCAATTTCGATCACGTGATTTACCTTATAAAAAAACATGTTACTTTAGAGAGACTCAAGGAGATAGACTCAGACAGAGATACACCGGACCTGGTCCACTTGTTTGCCAACGTCCAGATACAACTTTTGAACTATATGCTTCGTTTTCCCAGTGTCACCAACCGAATAAAGATAACCGGTTCATACTACTCTGCATCACAGTCGAAATTCTCTATTGACAGTGTGTACCCATATAGCATATCTGGTACATTGTCACAGTTATCAAGTTACTTATAACTTGTACTCATAAGGCTTGCACTCTAGCCGCAATATCATTTCTGCGATATACCATTTACCAGGTAGTAAATCACATCTAGTTTTTAAATCAAAATAAAATATTAATATTAATTCATTAATATCACAAGCAGTGAACATAAAGTGACGCCTTTTAATGAAGCATTACAATTCGCTTACCTCAAAACTAAATGGGACAGAACCTATAAATTGTATCATAGGGCTTGCTGTCTATCCGCAGCTTCATTTCTGCGATATACCATTTTTCAGGTAGTAAATCACATCTAGTGTTGAAATTAACATAAAATATTAAAATTAATTCATTACAATTGTTATTGTTCCAAAAGGAGGTCCGAGATGTGAGTACTTGTTCAGCTTCGCTTGACATTTATCATAAACACTTTCCCGTCATTCAATAAGAGACGATGAGGCCACGTTTCGCATTTTAGCTGGTAGATTTTAGGTATTATGCAAATGGGGAAAGATAAATATAGAAAACAGTCGAGCTCCAACTATTTATGCCACCATTTTGAACGACTGTTGGGGAATATTGAACACGCACCGCGGTAAGTTACAGTTTCACATCATTTTACTATTTTATTGTTGTTAAAAAGCAAAGATTTGATCGCTGTTTTTGAAGCTCCTGACATCACCCTATGTATACCATGGAGAAATATATATCTTTCCTTTATTTGATAATGTAGCGTATTGTGGTTGTCTGTTATTTTATTTTGTATATGTATTTGACTATTTGTAATCTGTATATTTTGTGTTCTGGAACATTCTGCTAAATTTGGGGCACAGCTCAGCAAGTCTTTGTTTTCAGGCATCACGTGTGATTTAGTTGCTTGGTCAAAGGTTTTAGGTTTTTGGTCTAAATACACCGTCTTTTATTTCCTTCTCAGAGATTTGGTTTTAAAAATACTGCCTGCCCAACCTTTCGTGGGAAATTGGGTCCCTACCTGGGTTGGCCATCTTTGTATAGCTTCACCCAATTCCTGCAAAGTTTCATCATTTCATTCACTGCCTAATTCGCAGTTCTACTGCATAGGTATATGCTTGCCCGCTTGATTTTGGAGGGGCAACCCAACATTATTATCGCGGGGCGACCGCCCCTCCATCCCCCAGTGCCACCACCACTGTATAGTGAATGATTGGCCGATGAATAGCCGATCGCTGCATATATTTACACCACCATAAATATAATATAGTGCGTTAGCATAAAGTGTTAAAATATTGTTTTCAATTGTTGTTATTACTTGTGTACTCAATTGTTCATTTTCCATTGATTTATTGTTGAAACCATTATATACTAATTCATAATTATTTAATTGAAATGCATATTACCAATCACATTATCGTTCTTTTAAGACATGATCAGTATGAATGGTAAGATATTCATTGTTATTCTGGCTCTCGGAACTATGGTTCTGCTGAACCCAGCATATGCAAAGGTTAGTATTTTGAAAATTTATTGTGGAAAGCTATAATTGTACGACAATGTATATAACACGATATTTGCAACAAAACAAAACTTAAACAGTATATGAACGAAAAGCTTTTATTAACATGTATAATCTTAAATATCAATTGAGTTGCATTACAAGTAAACAATATGCAACATTATTGATAATTTATCAAACGATAATTATCACGTTTGTCGTATTAGACACAACATTGGTTGTATATATAACACGGATGGTAGTATATTTCCCCACTAAATTCTAAGTTCAAGCAGAGTGTATTTCCATTGTATAGAAGCTAACATGAGTTATTTGTGTTCTGTAGTTTCTAGTTATAGTCCCATTCCTTCTTTCCAGTGCTCCATATTTAGCATGTTTCAAGGGCCGTGGGGAGTTGAATCATTATTCTCTTACATCAATATTAAAATCATTATTCAGATTTCAAGCAGCTATTCGTGATGGCCTGCTTTATATATACGCCGGTATGGCAAATGTCTCACTAGCAGTGCAGTCACGTCAATTAATGTCCCCTTGCAAAAAAAAACACGCACTACTGTCTAAAACTTTTTGCTCCTAAAGTCACTGTATGTGCTTCTGTGGACAATGCTTTTATTTTCTCGATTAATAGTCGCCTATTTCTCAATTCTTTATTTTTCTGCTTGATGATTTTGACCATTGATAACTACCGATTGACTTGTCGATTTTCCATGTCTTAATTTGCTTGGCTTAACAACACCGCCTCCACCAGGGTGCCTTTCATACAAAATAGTGTTTGTCGCCCAAATCGTCTGAATATTCGACCTTTCATTTACGCTTACTTCGGATTAACAGTATTCTGCTAAGCTAAATTAACCAAGCGTTTAGATGAGTGATGTTGTTCACCATCATATTTATTGGCTCACTACAAATGTCTTATAGTTGTTTGTTAAGTTTATCACGACATCAATCTATTAAACCAACACGATCTGCGTTACTTGGGTCAAGTATTTAGTACTAAACTAATGAAACAGTCTGTAAACTTACATACGAGTTCCCGATAAATCCACATACAAATAATTGGTCCAAGTTAACTCAAAACTTGATGTATCTACATTTTAGCACTCTAAGTAGGATACCATTCCCTAAATTCTGATCAATATTTTATTCATTTGATTCGCTTGTGTTGACATATAATCCCAATCAACTCTTTTCCACTGTAACAATGTATTCGGTTAGTATAAACGGACACTTTTGTAGATTTACAACCGTGATATCGAAACACCATGTAAAAGGATGACACTGTAGTAGTAGGTAGTAGTAGTAGTCATTAGTAATCAATGGTACATGCCATATATACTAATTGAGAATAAATTTATAACTTGTGACCCCGAGAACAAAATATGTGATAATATGTTGGGTGCCCATGCCTCTTTTTGTTTGTTTCAATTCGTTTAACACACACCTCCCACCTTACAGTCATTGCTTATACTCAAAAGACTTGTTCATAGTGTAACTAATTATTTTCAATGTTTATGTTACAGCCATATGGAAAAATCGATGATAATATGTCTTTTGCAAGAGTTTTGCGAAGGTATGCGTTACTGTTTTCATTCCCAGGCGCATGAATTTTACATAAGTAATTACCTAATTTTAAAACATAAATTTGGTATATTGAAGATAA